AGTGTCCCTGAGGTGGGTAAGCCTACCCCATAGCTACAGAAATAACTGTGCAGAAAACTTACATCAGGTTTTCTTGTTGCATCATAAAATACCAAACCAATATTAACAGCACATTTTCAAAAGAAAGAACTTACTTTCAGTGCAAATAGGACAGCATCCTTTTCTGTTGAGAATTTTACCCTAGTCAAGAGAAACAAAGACAAAAACAAAACCTTAGTGTTAAGAAACAGTCTGCCAGGGATAAATCAATCCCTTTTTAAAATCTAATACCAGATAAACCAACAAAATCAGTGCAGGCTATACTTGAATTTGATGTCCAGATGGTGATGATGATGGTGAAAATGTAGATTCGAGTATCAGGTTGAATAAAGGCCAGGTAAAGCCATTCCAAAAACTTCCCTCTAAGAAACAGGATACCTCAATGTATGGTGTGATTTTTCTCACATAGAGGGAACATGGAGACAGCCTGGACCCAGTCTTCTCACTGATAGCCAAATCAAGCGCTCTAAAGGTCAAGTACACACACTCTCGTGGGAATCACAGTCAATCTGTCAATGCAAGCGAGGCTTCTTCCGGGTGGTGTTTGTTGGAGATGTTTTCACAATACCCTGTAATCCAAGCTCAGGATGAATCCAGCCTATGGAGATAGTACCTTACAGATAAAATCCAGTCGGATTTCTTCCTTTACAAAGCGGTACATCATCTATGCTAACGCACTGTTATACAGTCAAAGCCAATGAGGCCGAGAGATCTGAAACGCTGAGCAATTTTCCATTACCATTCTAGAAATGTAGTGCAATTTCCTGTGCTGAATGTCTTTTCATTTTTCTAATGTATGACATTAAAAGAAGGAAGCATATTCTCAGGACCTGTATCAAAGAATAGCTTTTTAAAAATCTCCAACTCGGTGGTTAATCCCAGAGAAAAAGACATGTGGAAGCACATTAGCACTCTGGAAGCGCTTGCTAAGTAATGAACAAACATCCTATTTGATATTTTACCCACGTGACCTAACAATGGGTTACTTATAAGGATCTAATGAGCTAATACTTTAAGGTTTAATGAATATTATAGTTGTTATTAAGAAGTGGGAAATCCTTATGGATTGCGCATTTTCCTTTTCACAGGTAAAGAAGCTGATGACATGCAACACAGGGTGGTTGAATCCAAAAGTAAACTTCATTTCTTTGACTCTGCAGACCACGTTCTTCACTGTAGAGTTTTATGCTCTGTAGTCCTTCAGGACATTTATTGAGTAGGTGCTGCACACAGAACACAGGACTATGCCTTCCCCATGCTTTATCTCATTTAAAATTCACAGCAACAATGTGAATTTCCAAATTTAGGTGATCTCATCCCCTGTTTACAGAGAACAAAGGAAGCAGAGCCCAGAGAGATGGCTCAAGACCCAGACAAAGGTCCACAGCTCAGACTCGGCTCATTCCCTACCAGTGAGCAGTGTTAAGAGTAGGTTTAAATATAAGAATAAGTAACCACATTGACAGTTTGCCACTGAAGAACTAAAGCTATCTCTCATTCATTTCTTGCATCAGCTAAGCTTGAAATGGTACATTAAAGGTTACACTGCCATAGGTGATTCCATTTAGTTTCTCAAAGCCAAAGCCAAATGAGGTTAACCCAGCCCATGGAATGATGTCTCCAAGAGAATGGAGTCAGGCACTCCATCCCAATGGAGTAGACCAGGTCAAAGCCAAGACCCTAACTAACTGAGACTGTAGTCTCTGGATCTGCATCTCAACAGAAACTGCTGTCTCCCTTCTTCAGAAAATAAAAGTGCTGGTCCTCTAAACTCAGTGGGAAATTAATAAAGTGCACACTGTGAAGTCAGGGATCCTGGGCTGTATGCAATGAGCTGCAAAACTGGACACAGCCTCATTTGGAAGAAGGGCCTAGTCAGCAACCACTCAGAGGGATGATCAGGTCAGCAGCCACTCAGAGGGGGGTGGTCTCAGAGGAAGTGAGATTAGTTCTGTGACTATAGAACAAGTCTCAGTGTACAGGAATACTGAAAAGACAGCATGCTGATGCTCTCACCCATACCCAGTGGACCCCTCAGAGGCCTTCTCACCAGTGAAACCCTATTGCCCACCTTGAGAGTTACTAGAGAGGGCAGACAGGGAATAGAACCATAAGTCCTTTGGGGAAAAAAGTGTGATAACTGGGAAGGATGGAGCAGGAGCTACAGACTGTTTCTAGTTTTTCTACCTTAATTTTTCTTGAATGTCCCCTAGTCAGTGTAGGGAAGGAGAAATAAGTTGTTGCCTTTTTCTTTTTAAAGGATTTCATGGTAGAGCTAAGCTATCTTCCAAAAACCTTGTACTGGCCTCTGAGAAGGGAAAGTATAAAGAGGAGGGCAGGTTGGAAGGATGCCTAGAACTAGAAAGGTAGTCCCCGGGGTGGCAGCCAGGTCACGGCACTAACACGCTCCAATAACCACGGAGGGGGTGGGGCTGGGCAAAGACCTTCTCGGGAGGGATGGATGTGCCTGGCCTGAATGTGGCACACACAGAAGGATCACTAGGGAGACGCAGGCAACATGAAGAGCTGTGACCTCCCTGTAGAAACCATCGACCCTGCTACAAGTGGCAGAACTGAAGTGAAGCTGGAAACTCCACAGCAGCCTGCTGAGGCAAGTTACTTGAGCCACCAGGTTGGCACAGTTTCCTGGTTTTGTCTTGTAGAATAAGGAAGCCCATTATTACTAACATGTGCTTCGAGAGTTCATTAGCAGTGAGGGTTCCCTGAGGACTGACAGAAATGATGTGATTCCATTTTTCCCAATGAATATTTATAAGCAGCCCATGTTCAAGTCTGCGTATTGTACCTCTTTTTTTCTTTTTATGGGAGGTTTTCAGTTTTATATCTGAGGCTTTTTAAAACAAGACTAATTAGGCTCTTTTTCCCTTTTTCTCTCCCCTTTATTCAGTTGTGCAATGGCAACAGCTGGTGTTTTTTTGTGCCTCATTTGGCACTCAAGTAAAAACAGCAACTTTTTGTTTATAATAATAACAGATGTGAATAAAATTGAAAGAATTCTATAGTACAAAACAGAGGACATGCTCTGAATATATGGATATGTTTTCTTCATTCACCAGAAGGTACTGGATAGGTTTGACATTTTCCCAAAATGCACAAAACCTTGAAAGGTTTCAAGTTGCTGAGGTGGGTGCTATGGAGCTCATGCTTCAGAAGATAAAGGTGGCCTTCTTCAGGGAACTGGATTGTGGGTATTTGAAAAGAGATATTTCCATAAAGATGCTATTTCCATGTGGGGCTACAATGGAGGCCAAAGTTAGAGACAAAACTTCAGCAGAGGGATTGGTACTGCTGCTAGGCAGGAGAATCCTCTTGGGGAATTTATTAATAAGTACCCACATATTACCTTGACTATGAGAAGGCTGTGATTTGAGAAGAAAGAAAAGGCAAAAAAAGATGGTTAATGACAGTTAATAGAAAGCCAAACAAAAGAAAACAGGGTCTAGGCAAAGGGAGATAGAGAATTGTGAGAAGTCAGTAAACGTGTAGGAAGGTTGGGGCAAGAACCAGACAAGAAAGTTTTTCACACAAGGCTCAACTCTGGGTGGAGATTACAAGAAAGATGTAGCAAGTTTCACCACGTACTTCTGGCTATTTAGTAGTTCCTGGGTCTCTATTTCAAAAAAGACATGTGCCATGCAGTTCCCAAGGTAAACACAAAGTCAACCTGTAATCCAAAGATACGTGTGGGCAGCTGCTGATAGGAATGCACTGCTTCTTATGACATTCTGTCTTGCCTTTCACACAAGCACAGATGGTACAGTTGACAGAGGACCACATCTCTCCATCCTGCAGGACACAGCATAAGATTCCGGTATCAGTTGCAGGTTGCAGGAACTAAACCAATGTGTTAGATTTCCCCTTCAAGGACAGCATGACAACCCTGCCTGAAGATGACATGCCATCTTACCCCAAGAGATTCTGATACATCTACTATTTAGTCAATTTAACATAATGGCTAAGGAGGATCTTTCTCTCTCTCTCTCTCTCTCTCTCTCTCTCTCTCTCTCTCTCTGTATGTGTTTCTCCCCATAAAATATGAAAGGATTCTTCTGTGTCTAGCCAAGTCATGTTTTCATCTCACTCTTAGTGTTTTTTAGTTCACCCTGGAAGACAAGTATGTATACAGTTGCAAACATAGTGCAAGAATAAAATTTTAATTTTACTCTCTGTTTGATGTGATTGAAATATTTGTTATCTCAGGCACCACAGTTAATTGAAAGTTTAGGAATGACGATTTATACCCACCCGTGCCAT